TGGATCTGTCTACAGGCTAGAATTATCTGGCAACAAATGTGGGAGTAGCCAGAGCAGTGCAATATGATCCTCTTGTTCATCTCTTTCAAAGATACGGCTCACTAGGGTAATGTCCCAGGTTTTAGTGATTTATTATAGCAGGAGAAATTATGAAAGGCTGATAGTTCTTTGAGATCCTCTGGCCTTTTCACATGATTTCTCCTGCAGTACATATTAATTTTGTGCTATCATAGCAATAACATAGTATAAATTATATAAAGATCTGAAGCATACATATATCCAGACAAAGGTGAAGATGGACATTTCTAGGGAATTTTTTTGACCTCCAAAAAGTAAAAACAAAAAACTCAAAAAACCCCTCAACACTGCCTTTGTATGGCCTTCAGGGAAACATGTGCCTCTTACATGTATCTTGCCCTTGACAAAAGTGGTGATGTCTTCCTCATTATCGAAGATGGAGAGAGTCTGCAGCAAGTTATTCTCTAGCCATTCCCAATGTTTTGTAATCTCCTTACGAGATGAACCTAACAGAGGGGGACACAGAGGAAATAGTCAGAACACCATTCGTCTTGAAAGCTCACAGCAGAAAATCAATGAAAACATCACTGCAGACAACAGTGGATTGGGTACCTGTAACCAGACAACTACACCCATTGCTAGGGAACCATTTCTGTTGTCAGCCATGCATACTAAAGGGCAGTTTGCCTTCAAGTACAAATCCTGTTTTCCCCCAAATCACATAGCTTGCAAAGGTTTTCTTAATTCTTCAGCATTTTACACCCTGTGGAATATTAGGAAAGCTTCGTGCAAAATAATTTCAGAAAAATAGGACTTGCTGGACCTCTGCAGACTGACTCCATTTGCCAATGCTGTGCGTGACTACCAAAAGAGAGCAGAAGGGCCCAAAACAAACAAACAAGGCCAATGTAAAACATTCACATTTGAAATGCTGCTGTGCTATTTGGGACGTCTGGCACAATTTATTTCAGAAGAAGCTGGTGTGTCAGTCACTTTAATGCTACACTGACAAGTTTCAAGTCTAAATACTCTCTTTCATTCTAGAGCAAATTTGGAGGAGGGAACTCTTCTACAGAAAAGGTAGCTGGCCAGTGGTATTGTTCCTTTAGTTATTTATTTACATTTTAGTAAGAGACTTCTCCTTCTCAACCCAGGGTCACCTTTTCTGCTCAATCTCGCATTCAATTCAGAACCACGAAAAAATAGAATTATGTCAAATATTCACTGTTATAAACTTCAGAGCAATATGAAAGCAGAGAAGACAATAAGAAGAGGTAAAACCTTGATATAAAAACACAGAACTTTGGTAATTAGCAGTTAAACTAAGAAACATAATAAAAAACAATTGAAAGGTGAATACATTTATATTTAACTCTAAAATGTTTGTAAGCTTCCTCCTCAATTAAATTCCAGTTAAGTTCTAAAATCCAACTTCAACAGTCTACAGGACTCATTCCCAGTTGCATACACTATGGAAATGGGATTCCTAAAAATGTGTAGGTGAACATTTCAATTGTTTTAATGACACAGCATCCATCCTGCTAGGTAATTTCTATGCTGGAGTAGATGCCCCTGCACGATAGCTTAATGAGAAAGCTTCATGGGAAAGGTGGAAAACAAGGGAAGACACAAAACTCCCTGATGCTCTTATTCTACATAAGGTTTATTTCTTACCTTGTTTAAAGGCAACCTCAGCAACAAACAAGTCACAGTTGAAAGGTCTGTAGTTGGACACCTAACCATGAAACCTACCCCTGCTTGTCTGTGGTTTCACAAACTGAAATAACCCCAAGATCTGAAACCAGAAACTAGAATCAGCATTAATTGTATCTGCCTCAGGGGACTATGAATTTTGTCTTCATTAAGTGACTGTAGAATAGAGAAATATACACAAAGTCAGAAGAAAAGAAGCTAATTTGAGTAATTGGTAAATGTTTTGATGGACTTGGAGGAAGCATGGTGTTCACAGCATGAGAATGAATCTGAAATTCTGGCCCCCCCCCCCCCCC